TCTCCTTCTCTAGAAAAGCATGGATACGGGCTCTGTAATGTCTAAACAGAAAATTAGCTGGAGTTCCAGATGGAGGAGTCCCAGACTCCTTGAATGCTGATGAACCCATAATATCTCGTCTTTCTAAAATTTACCTCCCTGAGGTCTCCTTCAGCTGGACCTGCTTAGTTCCTGTTGAGTACCCAGTGTGACCTGTGGATCCAACTGGAACTAGAACTACACAAGTAAATTCAGAGGGCTCCAGAGGCAAAACCTTGGGCCTCAGAGGCAGCCTGGAAATATGGAGCACAATGAGTGTCCTTTTGCTTGGTTCCTTGATGTTCCTGGAGGTCCCCGGTTGTCTCATTTGAATCCCACCACTGCCACCAAAATATAAATGGAAAAATGTGGGGGCACAGTCAGATTTTAATGTGTTTGAGTCAGAAGCAATTCGTGGATTGGGAACAGCAGACTGAAAGAGGTTTGGTGTCACAGTTTCATAGTGCCAGAACCGTGTACTTATGGGGAAAATGTGGAAGCCAGAGAAATTATTTCATTGGTTTCAGTTACAAAATCACCCTTTTCGGTTTACCTTGTTAGACTACCTAGGTCATGTGATCATGTATCAGTTGGCTGTTTACAATTGGCCGAATGTCATGTGTGTTTCCAACAGCAGAAATGGTCACATGACTCAAGTCTTGCTTATGCTTTTAATGTAAGCAAGGTTAAAGCTATATTTAACCTTGTTGCAAAATTTAAGGCCTAATTCATTTTGTTTGCTCAGGGATTTTTCAGGCCTTCTCTTTGTTTTCGTTTGGCTTTAGTACTTCCTCATGGGAAAACACCATTTCATCTGTTAGTCTCTTTCGGTCTATAAGGAATAGAGAAGTACTGGGGTAATGCAAATTTTTGATTTTGATTGTGGTACTGGAGTTTGAGCTCAGGGCCTTCACACTGAGCTATATGCCCAGCCCTTTAAAACAGTGTTTTGGGGGCCAGGGATTTAGCTCAGTGGTTTCGCCACCTGCTGCACAAGTGCAAGGACCTGAGTTCAATCCCTGGTACCAAAAAACCCCCAAAACCAAACAATTTTTTTTATTTTGAGGAAGGGTCTTGGTGAGGCACTGAGTTGCCCAGGCTGGACTCAGACTTGCAATCCTCCTGCCTCAGCCTCCAGAGTGTTGTGATTACAAGTTGGTGTGCCACCAAGGCTGATGTGAATTCATTGTAAAAATACATGGTGATAGAGAAAAATTACTCATGACACTCATTAAAGATGGCAAGGCAGACCTTATTCAGGGGAGCCATGCAGCCAGGTAGAGGCATTCTTGCCGTAGGGCCTTGCCATGGAGGGGAGGGATTGGAGTCAGTGCATAGAAAATTACAAAGAGGAAACATGGAGGGCGTAGGACTTGTGACTAAACTGCCTTGAGGGGACTGTTGCTGAAGGCCAACCACGGTGATACGGTGATACCGAAGGTGGTCACAGACCAAGGTTGAGGGCTCTTCACTAAATGGACTTCACAAGATTTTTATTCAGAATGGCTTCTGCAACAACAGGGAGCCCAAGGTCAGGCGTAATCAGGCAGAGGACTTGGAGAAACTTGACACACGTTTTTGTGAAAGGAGAGACTCTGTCGTGGGATGTCAGATCCTTGGACAGCATCTCGTGCTGTGCTCAGCCACATCCCACAGACAATGGGAACATTGTTCAGGGTAAAACAGCTCCTCCAGTATCCGAACAGACTGCTGTGCTCATGCGTCAGTATTTTTCTTATCTCTGCTTTTTTATGAATTCTGCTTCTGCAGCCAGCCCCTCTCTTTCCTCTGCTCTCATAGTACTTCTGCTTTCACAGGGTTTTTATGTGTTCCCTTTTCTCTGCTTTTTCTGGGTTTGCTCTTTTAAATGCAGACTGCTCTCTGGTGCACTCATATTTAGAAGTTGGCTAGGACTGGATCTAACCAGAAGTGGAGAAGGCAGGAAACATCCCTCTTCCTGTTTCAGAGGAATAGTTCCTGAGAGGAGAAAGATGAAGTGTTTACCTGCATGCAGATTGTAATGATTTTCTAACATTCGCATTTGGAATGCTTTGAACTCTGTATCCATGGTTATTTCTGTCCTCACATATCAGGAAAGATGCCAGTGATTATTCTTATTGAAATTATTGTTATCCTCAAAAATCTTAAGGTCCTCAGACCCCTTTACTTGGGGACAATTACTTCTTACAGAAAGGGGATGTTCTTTGCTGGTTGGACCTTTTTGTGGTAAGAATAAAGCTTTTTTCTTAAAAATCCTGACTAGCGATCAAGCACAATGCCTTTTTTTTCTTAGAAAAGATCATAATTAGTGAGTCATACTCTATATTGTAAGGACAAATTTCTTAAGATGCATGCCCATTGAGTTTTCCACTCAACCAGTGAACCAGTCTGTAGAAGAAGGGTGTTGGGCTCAGTCCTCTTAGATGGATAAACATTTTGCAGTTTTTCTCAATTTTTACAAGGGGTAATGTCTTAGTTGCTTTTCTCATTGCTGAGGCAAAATAGCCAACACCTAAAGTTAAAGGAGGAAAGGTTTATTTGGCTCACAGTTAGTAGAGGTGTCAGTTCATAATCGGCTGGCAGTAGCATGGCAGAGGGGCATCATAGAGGAAAAACTGCTCATGGGAGGCAGAAGACAGAAAAAGCAATAAGCAGCAAGGGACAAACCTCTTTCTGTACCCTATATTGTGTCTAGGCTACCCTTAGGGCAGGAAGCACTCACTCCCTTAATCCTAGCACTTTAATCCTAGCATTGTACCATGAATCAATCTCAGCATCATATGCTTTATATCCAGCCACCTCTGAAAAGCCCCAGCTATGTCCACATGAGGCTTTGGGGGGACATCTAGAAACAAACCATAACAGGTGATCAAAATATACAATATTTAAATAAAAAATTTTATTATGGTGAAAGAAACATTGGCGTTCATCCCCCTCAGTTTACTTCCTCTCACTTGGAAGACACTTATCACGTTGTTCTTGCCACTTTCTGAAGCAGCTCTGGAAGGCCTCTGTAGTGAGTGTCTTTGTGAGGTGTGATCAAAACTACAGTGATTATCGATTATTCATTCTAATCATTGGTACATTTTAGGTATACAATATAATGACATTCATCATTGGAAATTTGCACCTTTACATAGTCTCTCT